CCACGGCATGTGTCTATTGTAATCTTTCACCAATAAGACTTTTCAGAACATCATAAGTGAGCAGAATAGAAATTTTAGATAAACGTTTCACAACTACTTTCTCAATGTGGTTGTATTAGCTGCACTGTACATTTGCAAAGGATTTAGGGAGCATAGAGTCCCTGGTGGATTCTGTCTTCTGTACTGGATATGGCAGACCACCATAGTAAGTGTTTATTACCTTTCAATTCATTTCCTTTTCCTGTCTCCCCTGCCTTTCAGTAATGTTTTTCATAGCTCTAAATATTAAGCAACAGTTCAGTTTAACAACCTAGTGAAAGCAGCTTTGCTGTTGAAAGCAGACAGTCTTTGTGGATGTAACCTTGGCATTTCTATGCTTGAAGAATGCGGCAATTTTACTAAAGAGGTGGTGCAGTAAAACCAGGTCATATGACTTGCCATGTACATCTGCGCTCTCATCCTTGTACCATTTTAACTTAAATAATCAATTTATTAGGGCAGATACATGAGGATGTGGTTTCATGTCACTCTTAGTTTGACTGTGGGCTACCACTGACAGAGTTTGTCCCACTGTCTTCCCTGCCCGACTGCGGGTTCCTGTTTCTTTCTTTGCCTTGGTGATAGTGATTGTGCAACCAGATAAATGAGCTGTACCACTGGGACAAAATCTTTTTTGATGGGTAGGTTTCCAGTCATCTCCCTGCATAACTGCTAGATCTGGTTCAAGAGAAGCAGTCAGTGCAAAATTATTCCTTTCAGTGACAATCCAAGTTAAGTGTGACATGAAACTCCACCCTATTTTGAAAAAGTGACTAAACCAGTTCAAGCATGTTGGAATGAATTTAATTAGAGCAAATTCTAAATGTATTTTAATGAGTTTGGTTCCTTTTCTAGTATGACAAAGGTAGCAAATAAAATACCCCATTAGCTGATAAAGAAACATATATTTATAGTTATTTACTATTTGTCTTGTTCACATGCTTTTTCATGTACAGCAGTCAGGATTGTGGGGAAAATCACTGGGAAATGAAATGCCTGGAGACCATTTACAACCATAGATCTTTGGCATATAGGTTGCTTGCCTTATTTATGTTTTGGGTTTTTTTGCCTTACTGCTGATCATAGGGTGGTCTTACATACCAAAATACTAACAGATGGCAGAGGAAAAACACATGAGAATATAAAGGTATTTTTTATTACCTAACAACAGCATGTAATATTTTCTAGCAGCTGTGGACTGAATGCTATACTTTTGATTGTGTGAATTTCAGGGCTTTTGCTTTGCAAAGCTAAGTGTACCGTATCATGTGATCGTTTTATATATTAAAATGGTGAAAATCTCATATATGTTAGCCTAGATGTTGTCTGAGGCTCAAGAATAGAAAATCTCAATCAGGCAAGGGACTCCTACTACTGTGAAGTCTTCCTGAAAAGAGTCTCGTTCATCCCTGCATAGTAAGATCAGATTATAATTTGTTGAGTTAATTTGAATTAATTTTGTGAAGCAACCTCCATTTTGAGTTAAAAGATAGATGTTATTTAAATTTAATTCAGTATTCTTACATAATTGCACTTGAGGTCAAGCTGAAATTTTTGTTTTAAATTGTGAATTTTTTTCACTCTGCAGATTTGTTTAAATTTATGACTGTACTATAGAAGTTATCAAGGGAAACTGGAGACTTCAGTAGCTGATAATTGGGGCTTTCAGAAGTGGGGAAAATTTGGGATGCAGTTTAAAACTACATGATAGCATTAATTAGATTTTTTTTTTAAGTCAAGAATTCTGAACCAGTGGTTCAAATGTTCAGGTACTGTGTATTCAGAATGAATGGTCCCTCTGTGGATAACAGAAATTGGAATTATAATGATAAGATTGATCAACAGATAGCTAATTGCCTATTTACATGAATCATAAGAGTACTTATATTCTGGATTTGAAGGTTAGTACTCTGTGGAATAACTGCTCCCTGCTAAGAGAACTTTGTATGCTTTTGGATGCAAATGTGTGTATTGTCTCTGCAGTAGAATCACTAGTGATCTGAAGAATAGACTGGTAAGCTGTCTGCCTTTTCTTCCCCTGTGTAGCTGTGTACGATCGAATGCGAGCAGACCAGAAAAAATTTGGTAAGGCAGCATGGGCAGCAGCAGTGGAACGCATGGAGAAGCTTCAGTATGCAGTTTCTAAGGAGACACTGCAGTTGATGCGCGCTAAAGAAATCTGTTTGGAGCAGAAGAAACATGCACTGAAAGAGGAGGTAATTTGTCATACCAGTAAATAGAAAAATAAAACATACAGGAAAAAAACAAATCTTGAAGAGTGTTGATGTACTTAAAAAAAAAAAAGAAAAAAAAAAAAACCAAAACAAAAAAAATCTGACTTGAAATTTATTATTTTTCTGCTTTTAATAATAAAATTTTCTATTTTAACTTTTACTACACTTTACCACCTTAGACAAATGGAGTTACAATGTAGGTGTGGTGGTTTTTGCACCACTTATTTAAGTCTTCTGTTCACCTTTTCCTGGTTAGTCAACCAGGAGGAGAATTTTTACTGTTAAATGTTTGCATTTATCCACTGAGATGAGTAAAATGAAGAGAAGGGGTAGGACAGGAATCTGCTGCTATGTAATCTCCACACTTTAGCTTGCAGAGGCATGACCACCTCTTGGAATAGTTCTGACATTCCAGATGGAAGGTGTCTGAACATCAGTAAATACACAGATGACTAGCCTGTTGTGCTGCACTCTTTGTCTCTGCTTATCTTAATTATTAAGGCAGTCTTCCAGAGGGTGTTGTGCTAGCTACAGCTTTCCTGAGGAAAGAGTGCATGCGTTAAATTTAGCAGAAAAAAAATACATTTATTTGGTTTTGTGACACCTCCTCAAAAGCAAAAATGCTACAAATACTCTTTTAAAATTTGCTCTCATGGATATTCAGTGCTAAGACCTTTCAGTCATACTAATGCCAGTTTACATTCTGTCTGATCAGTTGCTTGTTTTTAGAGCACTTTTCAAATGTTTCAGCAAAATTTCACTCAACTGGTGGCTCTGTTATGAAAAGGTTATCCAGAGAACTCACGCCTTTAGCACTGTATAGATTGGTAAGTTTGTAAGCCTGATAGACTATGTGCCTATTTTAGGAGCTTCTGTAGAAGACAGCTTGATCTGCGAGGAGAGAGTACCTGCAAGACCCAGAGCACAAAAATAAAAAGTTTGCTCCATTCCAATGCTCTTTGTATTTAGGAAGCCAAGAGTTGTCTGCAATCTTGAGTTTATCATGCTGCTGGCATCCTTAGCTAAGAGTTAATGAGAGAATCCAGCAGTACTAACTGGAAATACTATATTTAATATGTTCACATATTTAGGGCAGCCATGCATTGTCTTTTCCATAGCACATCTTATTTTTCTCCCAGTGGAGACCTTGTGTGAATTTTTGTTGAACGAGATCTCAGTCTGGTAAATGACTGATTGATTGGTTTAATGTGCCAAATCATTAGGGGCTGCATGGGAAAAGGAGAGGTTCATTGCAGTATACTGGGGTGAGAAGGGCTCTGAACTGAGAGGTTGGGGCTTTTGGGGACAGAGAAACGAGGAACGTCTGATGGGCGTACATGGACGTGGTGCTTTGGGATGTTGTATTAAAAGGTATAGAGAGTTCTGGGTCAAAACATGGTGATGGGCAGATATAAGGACTAACTTCTGTTCTGAAACATCTTTTTTTGCTTTCAGAATGTAATAGCCCTAAGTATGCAAAGTTGGATGTGACAACTGTAACTAGCAATCCCATATGGGAGAAGAAGGGTTGCCATCTTATCATAAAGAAAATACTTGGTGGTTATGTTAGCTGGTGCATTTGGAAAGATGACAGTAAAAAAAAAACCAAAACAACAACAAAAAGTGAAAACATGGTACATTTTCTCCTTTAAGCTTAAGAAGTGCAGACCTTCCTGCTGTGCTTAGGTGTATAAATTTGCTCTCACTGAGTCGGAAAAGGAGACACATGGGAAATAATATACTCGTTTCTCTTGCACTTAATTCCCTTTTCGTCAAATATAAACCAACCCTGCTGACTCTTTTTTAAGAGGGGCAGTGAAAATGTCCTTTTTTCTGTAGCTCTCATTTAGTATTAACTGAGTCCTTTTTTGTTTCCTAAAATGTGTTGACACTGTAAATACCTAGAAAGCTACTACATTTTCCAAGTTATCATGATATGAAAATCACCTGGTTAGGTGATTAGGTTAGTTATACTTTTTTTTTTTTATTTGCTGGCTGAAAATGTTAGTCCTATGATTATCTGTATTTAAAAAAAATTTGAAAGAATAACTCTACACAAATTACATATTGTGCTTTTTTATTTTCCTGATTTGTACATCTTAAGTTCCATCTGTTGTCCTGAATTTTGTTTGAGGGGAATGACGAAAACTTTCCTTTTGAGGTAGACCAGAGTCTGCTTTCATGGACTGGGTGCCAAGTCTTGTCCTCATGACAGTAAACAGAAACATTAAATCAGAGTGAGAATCCTTTGTAATTCTCCAAGTATGTAAAATAGTTTGGACAAATGGAAGTGAGTGACTGGAGACTTAAATTCCAACAAGTCCCATCTTGCATGTATAGGATTCAGTAACTAGTCATCTCTTTTTTCCTTTTAGAAGCGTACAGTTCAGTTCTAAAGATACACTTCAAAAACAATTTTTAATCTGCATGATAAATGTTCTGTGATATTTTCATAAACAAAATCATATTCCAACAAAGTACTGCTTGGTTTTTTTAAGAATGTTTTTCATAGTTTCATAATTCTAAGAGTACTTTCCTTTCCTATACATTGAGCCTGAATCAAAGATGTATTTGCTTCCAGTGACTTTGAGTATTTAAACATATCTTGCATTTCACGACTCTCATTTTACTTTTGCCTGAGTTGGACGCATAAGCAAAAATATAAATTTTATTAAGGATTCTATTCGAGGAGGCATGAATAGCTATTTCTGGAAAATTAATATTCTCTGTAAGAAATGGACAGTGATTTTGGTACAGATGCAACATAATATTTTTCAGAAAAGTATGTTTCACCCTGGTAGCTTTTATTGTATCTTTTTTAAACTTTTTCTTTCTGTGGCAGCTTTTTAGAAAGGCTAAGAAGGAAGCTAAAATTGGGAAATCTTTGAAGATTTATTTTAATATATTTGAACTATTTTAATAACAGATTAGGAATGCTTTTTCTTTCTTCACGTTCAGTGTTCAAACTGGCAAACTAAAATTGGTTGTAAAAATGACTATTCCTTAATCTTACATTAAATATTTGTGTAATATTCTCCAGTTCAGTCAAAAGTTCAAAAAGACTTGGAAATAAAAACTATTTTAGGTGGTCATCCTGTTTATGGAAATTAAAAAGCAGAAAGCTTTAAGCACACCAGGTGAAGTAATGGGCTGCATTCTATAGACAAAACTTGGAGTCATAGTTAGGCTTTTAATAATGCAGTGAGACATTATTAGAAAATTACTCATTAACAACAATAACCTACTTTGGACTTAATAGTTATCAAACCCCACATAAGTTCTTTTGAAATAACATTACTAGAATGATCTAGTTGAAGATGTCCCTGCTCATTGCAGGAGGCTGGACTAGATGACCTTTAAAGGTCCCTTCCAACACAAACTATTCTGTGATTCTGTGAAGAATACTAATGGGTATAAATATTAGTCAAGAGCAGTGTGTGTTGCTGTTCAGTACTCATGCAAGAGTAAGTGTCATTATCTGATTGTGAATACATTTGAAATATGGAAGTTTTCTGGCAGTTAGGAGGAAGTATCTGGAACAGACTTCCAATGGGGGTAACAAACACAGAGGTTTGTGAGCTTTTTGGTTTGTTTTTGTTTTTACAAAAGCAGAATAAGAACAATAATAACAACATGGCAATTAATTTAAGAACTCAGTTTATGAAAGCAGTTAATTTTAGATCTGTCTGAAAGTATTCCGTGGTGGTGGAAAGCTGGATTTGATGGCCCTCATTTCTGTATTCCATGTTTGGCTATTTCTCTATTAATTTTGTCATCTATCCATTTAAATATATGTATTCATAGTTCTTGTCAGAGACTTTCTGGTTTAACCCATTATATTTTTATTACCAATGTGTGGGTTTACAGATGATACATTTCTGCCCTAGAACTATTGAGAAACCTAAGTTCTTGCTTAAGTTCTTCACTTAGTATGAATGAGACAACAAAGACCGTTAATGCTGTTACTTGAATTAGGGCCAGAGAGATTAAGTTAATTGCTTGAGTTAATGCAGGAAGTTGTGGCATAGCAGGAAATTGAACTCGGATCTCCTCAGTTCCAGTTCTTTGTCCAACTGCAAAATGTTTCTTTCCTCTAACATTCTCACATTAAAGTTCTTTGTGTTTCTTTCACTGTGTTGATCAGCCTGAGACCTACCAAGGATGCAGCAAATTACTAGTACAGATTAGATAACAACTTGTAACATTAAGAATTGAACCACTCTTAAATTTTTAACAAAAAATGCTGACATTTTTCTAAGAGTGATGATACTGTTTTGAATTATCACACATATATAGTATCTCATGTAAAGTTTTAACATAAACGGTTGAAACTAAAGGTCCCCATTTTTCTTTTTCATGAGGGGCTATTATGTAGCTAGGATATCTGCCTGAGAACCATATGACAATATTAATTTCCCATTGCTGTTGCACCTGAAAACTGAATATAGTGGTGGTGTACCCCTAAAACACACCAGGTAGCTGGCAACATCTGTAATGTGTGCTTGTAGGGCTAAGATTCAGTTGTCAGACAGGTCCTTTGTCAGGCAGACACCACTGCAGCTGAATGAAATACTGAGCTACTATAACCTGATTAGCTGATACTTTGGAAGATGGCCCATTTATGTGTCTGCAGTCTTTATGCACAGTCTGTGGACTTAAATTTGGGAAGACATTTTTTTAAAGAAAAATGTATAAGTTTGAGTGAATTTTACAGTTCGCTGACAAAGCAAAAGTTCTTGGTTGTGGTAGAAGTTTGAATGATAATGCCTTAATTGGGGGGCGGGGGGAAGCAAAAAAACCCAAAAAAACAAATGAACAACCCACCACGTTTTGTTGCTGTGGTATATTTTTTTACAATAATAAAATCCTTTGAAAATGCCAAAACCCAGGATACCCTGCCTGACCAATGAATATTATCCCTCTTATATGGAAAAAGCAGAAGGTTCAAGAGAGTCAGTGCTTTGTCTTGAAAACTAGCTTCTAATTCACTCCAAATATGGCATCATTATGTCATTTAGTGTTCTAGTCACAATTAGAAATTTAATATGGAAGCAGAGTAATAGAATGGCATAACAAGACATGTTGGTGTCACTGTGGTGGGCTGACCCTGGCTGGATGTCAGGTGCCCACCAAAGCCACTATTACCACTCCCCTTCCTCAGTTGGACAGGGGTGAGAAAATATAGTGAAAGGCTCGTGCGTTGAGATAAGGACAGGGAGTTCACTCACCCGTTATCATCATGGGCAAAACAGACTCAACTTTGGGAAATTAGTTTAATTTATCGCCAATCAAATAAAAGTAGGGTAATGAGAAATAAACACTAAATTTTAAAACGCCTTCCTCCCACCCCTTGCTTCTTCCCAGGCTCAACTTCACTACCAATTTCTCTACCTCCTCCCCTGCAGAGGTGCAGGGGGACGGGGAATGGGGGTTGCGGTCAGTTCATCACACGTTGTCTCTGCCGCTCCTTTCTCCTCAGGGGGAGGACTCTTCATACACTCTTCCCCTACTCCAGCGTGGGGTCCCTCCCACGGGAGACAGTCCTTCATGAACTGCTCCAGCATGGGTCCCTTCCATGGGGTGCAGTCCTTCAGGAGCAGACTGCTCCAGCGTGGGTCCCCTACAGGGTCACAAGTCCTGCCAGCAAACCTGCTCCAGCGTGGGCTCCTCTCCATGCAGTCCACAGGTCCTGCCAGGAGCCTGTTCCAGCACGGGCTCCCCATGGGGTCACAGCCTCCTTCGGGCACATCCCCCTGCTCCAGCGTGGGGTCCTCCCCGGGCTGCAGGTGGATATCTGCTCCACTGTGGGCCTCTGTGGGCTGCAGGGGCACAGCCTGCCTCACCATGGTCTGCACCACGGGCTGCAGGGGAACGTCTGCTCCGGTGCCTGGAGCACCTCCTCCCCCTCCTTCATCACTGACCTTGGTGTCTTCAGACTTGTTCCTCTCACATATTCTTACTCCACTCTCCCAGCTGCTGTTGTGCAGCAGTTTTATTCCCCTTCTTAAATGCGTTATCCCAGAGGTGCTACCACCGTTGCTGATGGGCTCGGCCTTGGCCATCAGTGAGTCTGTCTAGGAGCTGGCTGGCATTGGCTCTGTCAGATATGGGGGAAGCTTCTAGCGGCTTCTCACTGAAGCCGCCCCTGTACTCCCCCCACCAAAACCTTGCCACACACACCCAATACAGTCACACTGCAGTGAAACACATAAATTTTACATTAGTGATTGTAAGATTTATAATATTCACTTAAGGACTTATTGAGCCTGTCAGGCTAATAGTTGATATACAACAAATGCATTCAGTAAGTATACAATAAAGTAGAAGAAATTTTTAAAACAGATGTTACAAGAATTGATTCACAGGTCTTCTGTCCATCAATCTTATATGGAAAGAAGCGTAACATGCAGAACTGTTTCCTTAGTGTTTAATTGAGCTGCGAAATCCCTATCAATGCATAATGATGCAGGTGCTAAAAGATACCTGCTATAAAAAAAGAGATAGGACAAATTTATGAAGTCAAATCCGGTAAGTATTTTGTATAAAAGGCAGCACTGTGGCTTAATCTGTGCTGCAAGCTATGCTAGAGACTGGTGAAACATTTTAGGGAGGTATCACTGCACTGCCTACTCTGCATCTTCTTCCTGGATATTTGCGGTTAACCTTTGTCCAAAACAGGGTATTGAGTAAGATGGATCTTTGGTTTAATTCAGTGCAGATATCTTTCTCTTTTATTATAGTTATAGTTAAACATGTGATAAATAAAACCGAGGAAACCCATTTCTGGCTATTAATTACATACTACAATTATTAATACAGTTTTACACCTTGATGAAACCACCATATTGTAAAAACATACTAGCAAATTTTTTTTAAAATGTGTAGTTTGCTAGATCCTGTATTTTTGCTTGGTGGACATCCCTTTTTAATGATTGAATGTCTGTAATACAGAAACTGGACCACGTTTCATCAGAAGTGTAAGGTAGATAGATCACAAATCTTCAGTAAAATTTAGAATTACTTTCATCCATTATCTGGGAGAAACTATCAGAGAGGCATTTTTTTTGAGCAGGTAGAGAACTTGGATGTGGCCCCAATTCTTCTGCATGCAGGTTGTAGAGCTGCATGGCTTTGAATTCTCTCCAAAGTGAGACAGCACATAAGATTCCCTTGGCTTGCTGTTATTTCTTAAGTATGGTCTGAATGACGAACGGTATTGAGCAGTTAAATCTTGTTTGGCTGAATGAAAGAGGATGGTTTGAGTTAAGTTTGTTTGTGTCTTGTGTCACTTTTCTATGTCAAACATGACACAAATAAGCACTAAAATGTATATAAATATTTTAATCTAGATCTTTTTTTTTCCTGTGAAATACTCCAGAAACAATGAAACTCCTCAGTTAAGTTGTCATTACAAGAGGATCGGTGCATGTAATTATTCCTGTTTCCACCACCTTTTACTTTTTTCCCTCAGTTCAGCTTTAATGGCAGTTTTAACTGTAGTTTTCTAGGTGCCATTAGCAAAAGAAATTTTAGACTTTTTGGACTGAAGATAATACATACTAATTTCATTATGTATCTTCAGAGAAGTCAAGTAGTAGAGTAAGAGAGTGGTAGGGATGTTTTGCACTATGTGACTTGTCACTTTGACAGTCACAAAGAGTAATCCAATGCCATGGCTTTTTTTATTGCCACATAGAAAAAATGTCAGATATTAAAGATGTCTGAAAGTGTGTGGCTGATAAAAACCTATCTTCTCCTCTTGATGTGTTCAATTTTAACATGTTACATTTAGTGTACCAGACTGCATCAAGCTGTAATTGTAAAGTCTGTGGTTTTATTTTCATTGTCCTGGATTCATGTGAGGGTATTTTTTTTCCTCTTTTTTTTCTTTCCATTTAGATGCAGAGCCTGAAAGGTGGTACAGAAGCCATAGCCCATTTGGACCAGTTAGAAGCTGATTATTATGATCTGCAGCTTCAATTATATGAAGTGCAGTTTGAGATCTTGAAATGTGAAGAGCTTCTGCTGACAGCACAACTTGAAAGCATCAGAAGACTGATGTCAGGTGCTTTACGCATTTTAATTAAGACATAATCTAAAAGATAATCCTTTTCCTAAAAGTCTAGTAAAGCCTGTGGGAATGAAATGAGAACAGATTCTTTACCATGTGAAGAGCTGGATCTAGCATAAGTACTGTTAAATTAAAATTTACACCTGTTCATAAGGCATATGCATACACATACAGAAGTTTTGGTCTGGTTCTCATTGCCTGTGTTTGGAAATAAGTACATAAGATACTGTGTAAGTTTTGGAAAACTAAATTCAGGCAGGAGGAAATGTCTTTATTACTGGACTTGTCTCATTAAAAGTTTGCATTGGTATTATTAATTTCTTTGAAGTGATTGGTTTTCAAAAGGTACTCCTGCAAATCAAGAGTCCTTCAGCTAAACTTTGAAGCTTGTTGTATTGCCATCTCACTGATTTAGAGCAGTGATGCAAACATTATGTTTCCAGAATCTACTATACCTTGTGTACTTACAAAATATGGAAATGGTACAGGTGAATCATACAGCGTTTTTGAATCCAGTTTTGTCCTTTGGACCTTTCTGTATTTAATGTTTTTATTCACACAAGCTCTGTCTTACTGTTTAGTGCATAGGGCTTGCATAGCAAATTTTGTTATGGATAGAAAAGTCACTTAACAGTTGAAGCTGGATTGTATTATGAGTTGCTTCTGGAAAAAGAGAAAACATAGGTGCCACGGATTCTTTTCACTGTTAAGTGAATCTCCTCCTTTTAGGCTTGTGATGGCAACAACTGTAACTGCATATGGAAGATGAGGATTGAAAACTCTGTAAATGACTTAAAGAAATGTGGCAGCTTTGACCAGGTGCCTCTGTGGATAGCTTGCTAGTGCTTTAGAGATAGATAGTTTTTGTACTTGGGAAATCAGACATTTAATTTTGGTACTGGAGACATGGTATTGTTTGCTTACCTGCGGACCAAAGGAAATCCCTTGAACAAGAGGCTGAGAAGGAATGTATATCAAAATCCTTTCTCTTCAATGTAGTGATAAGAAAGCCTAAGGGCTCTCAGAGATGAAGCCTGCTGTAAAAACATTGTAGGTCATTACAACTTGTCACTATGTTCTCTCCAGAAATCTCAAAAAAACCCCCAACTGCACAACCTGTCCAAAAGTAAAACAAAACCCCCAGTCAGCTAAACAACCAACCCTCTCCTTTCCCAGGGCAACAAAATGGTTCACTGTTCTGGCTTCCTTTGCTGTTTTAAATTTGTAAAGTATTCTTTAATACAAAACCCCAAAGGTTTGGGGTTTTTTTTTTTTTCTATTAAAGACAGCTGTCTATGTTAGAAGGAATTACTGTTTTTTAACAACTCTCAGTTAATATCCCATAGGACAGAAAATTAAAAATACAGTTCTTAAATGTGCTGGGAATTTTTTTCAAAGGATGAAATTACCTCTTTGGACTTTATGTAGGTGGAGGGGATAGAAGAATTAATGTGAAGAATGTGACACTGAAATGGCTACATCTCTTCAAGACCATTCAGCACCTAATATGAATGAAAGCATCTAAAGCATATAGTGTTCTTTTAACGTGTTGTTTCCTGTGCAGTCAAAGAGAAAAGAATGGTCTGTTGCATCTTCTGTTATGCTTCCTTTTTAAAGTGTACTTATAGTCAGTAAAGTAATAGCCTTTTAGTTGGGCACATCTATATGATTTGAAATACATGTGTCTTAGTGACTTGTAGAGGCTGCTGCTATTCTTTACTCTTTGACTGTGTTGGCTTTGCAGAGATATTTTAGAGAGTTTTGGATGCTGTTTTGATTTGAGGGATATCAGCAGTACTGCTAATGAAGTCTCAACTGATTTTTTTGAGAGTGATTTGATTTGACTGCCAGTTGATTGCAAGCTAGAAGAAAAACATTTTCTTTTGCAGATTCAGCACATTGGATCTGAAAAGTATCAAATGGTAATAGATTGTCATATTATAAACAACAGTAATAGTTTTTTACTGTCATTAACCAAATACCTGCACTGAAATTCATAAAATCTGAATTTAGTAGGTTAGGATTTTAAAGGGTCTTATCCTATCCATACAAACTATTTGTACATCCTTGTAAGATGGTTTTGTGGTGGATGCGTTGCTGTCAACAGAGGATATGATACTAGGTTCCTGCTTTGGTTGGAGGGTGGGTTGAACAAGTGAAAATGGTGTGGATTGTATCCTAAAAAGGAATAATCTAATTGGTTTACTGTAAGTGGTTGAGTTAGAAGCTTCAGCGCTTACCAAATTTATAGGCATTTCAAAAGCTGTTTGTAGAAAGCTCTTGGAATGTTTGATGGAGGTTGTAGTAGAGTTGCCAACGTGGGTTTTTTTTCCAAACAGTAAAACATATCTTAATGTTATGTTTTAGAACTGGTAGATTTGACTGGTTTGCAGCTGAGCTATTGGGGTTTCACTTGTAAATTCCTGTCTTTAACTCTGCATGTAAGTGTTCTAAAACAAAATTTGCATGTAAATTCTCCTGGTTTATAAGTGCATGGCAAAATATAATTGTTGTTAGCCATGAGTCTTATTTTTACTCACTGATGTCTCAAAATGGGTTCTAGTGAGTTGGCAGTTTTCTGTGTGGGTGAAACTTTGTGTGTCTTTTTTTCTTTTAACTGAGCACTAAAGTAAAGAATCTAGTAGATCTGGTTTTATTAGTTTTTATTTTAAGGTTCATATAGTGCTGTGCTTTCTTTTCTGGTCCTGCCATGTCTTCTTGAGCTGAAATTAGTGTGACAATCAGAATTTTGGTTGCAGCAGAGACTGTACACACAAATAACATGAAGTGACAACAGCTTTTAAAATGGACAATGTACTGAAGAAAACCCTGCCCCTCTCCCCAAATAATCTAGTAGCAGAAGTAGGAGGAATTAACTGTCTTGCTGAAAGTAGTTGATGAAGTTGAAATGAGAAGTTTTGGTGGTGCTACGGAGTAGACACTTGACAGTCGTGCCAGCTCTATCTGCCTGTTTCACCCAGCAGTAAGGCATATCCCTCTTTGTGTATTACAAAAATATCCTACTTGGTATACCAGTGAAATAAGGAACAAGAGGCCTTTGCTACTTCTTCATCCCAGCGTTCTGCAACGATTTATAATCATCACTTTTTCCTTCTTGGCAAGAGATGAGAAGGCAGCATTCAGAGATGAGCTCAGTGTTATCCTGAATGCTTCACTCAGGAGGCTAAAAATCATGTGTTGATAAAACTATTAGTAATGACCTCCTTTTCAGGCCTGTAATGCTTTGAAGGATTGCCTTGAAGTTACCCTCCCTCTGCTGCGTCTGAGCAGAAGCAGTGACTGGGAGGTCAAAAACCTCCTGAGAGGATTTTTTGTGTTTTGTTGTCTGATTCCCCCTTCATGAAATTAATAGTAGGTTGTGGCAGAAAAATCTCATGCTAAAGACTTCAGACAGAGTCTGTATATCCTGAACTTCGTAGTGAAGACTAGGGGATATTACTGCACATTGTGAGTCCATTGTATTAGTTAAGAGACCCAAAGACATGCGTGGATATTGTGATCAAGTTAGGCTACAGACACAAGCATAAGTTTACAGTTGCATTTGTTTTATAATGCTTTGAGCTTACCTGAATACCAGGCTGTGCTTCATTGGTATTGATTTCTGTTCTTCATATAAATGTTAAAGCCCTACAGTGCTTTGCTTGTTAGTGCTTTTCTGCTGACCTTTTGATTTTTGATAGTCCTCTGAAAGGACTATAGCATTCTTCTACATTACATCTTGCAACTCAGTGGGGGGGTTGTTGTTGAACAAAACAAAATGTTAATCAAATACAAACTGTTGATTTGACTTTTTCTTTGCTGACATTTTTAAAACAGAGAAGAGAGATGAAGTGGTATATTATGACACTTACGAAAGTATGGAAGCCATGCTTGAAAAAGAGGATATGGCAACATCTATACACTTGCAGAAAGAGGAGCTGCAAAAGTTACAACAAAAAATCCGCCAGCTGGAAGCAAGGCGTGGACGTATTTCAGCCAAGAAAGCCTACCTCAGAAATAAGAAGGTATTATTAAATTGTAAATGTCTAGCATGATTAGCAAATTTAATAAAACTTCAAAAGATTCCATTTCAGACACAGCTTCCAAGTCTCCCAGAATTTTTGTGGATTATATTTACTACTTACTAAAAGTTGTTTTGCAGAGTACCAAATACAATAGCATGTATTATTAATTGATATATTTAAGATTCAGTTTACATTTTAGCTTTAAAGGAACCTTTAATCACTTTGAAGTCAACACAAAAACTTGTTTCTATTAACTAATGAGAGTACTTTAATGTGGAAAGTACATGCTAGAACGCATGTTTTTACAGAGAATAGTTTTATGTATATTTGCAGAAGAGAATTTTCAAGGGTGTTTTCTCACTAATGAGTTCTATTTTCATTCTCTTACCTCATCCTTTTAAACTTACATCATGTGTCATTGATACTCTGTATTCAACAGATATATATGAAATCCAGTATATATGCTTAATATGTAAAGCTAGGTGTGCTGTTTAGGGCCACTTTACTTTTTCATGTGCAATGTGACTGGGAAGTTGTGCAGAAATGGTTTTAATGTAGCTAATGTTTAGAAATTGTGTATCAAGTGTGTGTAAATATGTTCATTTCTTTTTTGCAGAATGACTTATTGTTCCGTAGCAGTTTATGGTTACATGAATATGCATTATTAATGAGCAAGATACCTTAGTGAGTAGAATAGATCAAAGTTCTGAGAGAGCATTGTAATACTTGTTATAAAATAGGTTTCCATCCCATGCCATATACTGTAAGTCTCAGCTGAGACCTCATTCTAGATTGGGATCAGGGGTTGTGTGGTTGCTTGTTCCCAGTTATGTCCCTTGATGTGGGAGATGATCCCTCTATACAAACAGTTCTAGTAGATTGAGGGTAAAGCGTTCAGGTCTTGCCTGCCCTTAATAACTAATATATCTATTTCTGTACCTGAATCTTGAGGTATAACAGAGCAAACAAAACAGTTGATACATTTTATATTTTGGATTTTTTAATATTTCTTCAGTCACTGTCCTGACTCTGATTAACAGAATATGGAGAAGACTGCAAATAAATTATTATAAAGAAATGTTTCTTGTTAGCCAGCTATGGGAAGTAGTTTGCTCAGAGTCATTGAGTTTGTTTTACGTGAGTTTGTGAAAAAGAAGAAGTATCAAGAAGCTGGGCTTTTTCATACTTTAAGGAATAGATCCTATCTGTCACGTTATGCTAATTAATATAGGCTACATTATAATAGTTATGCTGTTTTCCTCTGAATGGGAAAAGACACTGCTGGCATCTTACAGAGTACACAAACCTATTTAAAAGCAACAGCCTGGTTGCTGTTCCTTACTTAACTTATGAGAGTTAACAAGTCGAGAAGCAACCCTGAAGCAGGAGAAGTTATTTTTTAGCATGCCTTCTTATCTGTATAATGAACTAGTCACCTTCAACTAGCTCATTTGTTTCAAGGTTATGCTGTGATAAAATACCTTGTTTAAGCTGAAGGAGTTAGTTCTAGGCTGTAACAGTAGTTGCAGCATGCCTACTTGTGCACTGAGACGTGATGAAGAGCTGTATATAGTAGTATTGCTCATCTTGGTCTGCATGCAGGAGTAATACAG